CCGGACGATTTAGTATGCAAATTAATACCACGGTTGGAATTTCGCGTATAAGACAGAGATAACGAGAGAAATATTAAAGGGGAATCTGCCGTGGCAATTAACATTTTTAGTTGGGGATTTGTCAATGTCTGAAGGGTTGTTGTAACAAAAATCGTCGCCATAAATACCAATTAAGGGAGGTAAATGCGGGAGATCGAAAATTCAAAGTGATCGAATTTACTTATTCGGCACGCATTACAGGTGTTTATAGCATCAATAATTTTCACATGTTTTTGGTAACCAATAATTAACGAAGTAATCAATAACTTAATAAACTAAGTATGGCAAAAGATGGTTAAAGTTAGATGATTTAAAAAAAAAGGATAATCATACGAAATGTGTTTGGATTACTTTTTTAAAGTTGAATCCATTTGGATTGAAATAATTAGTTTGTAATATAAGGTTTTCTCGATGTAGGACTATATGTGGTGTTTTGAATAGATAGTTTGTGCAAAAAGAAGACTAAGACAGTTTTAGTGCACAATCTATATGTGTTGATGACGCATAGAGGTTGTATCTGAATTGATTAGCCAAAGTTCACTAATGTGATGTATGGTACAAAACTGTAAAAGAAGTTCTTATAACCTTATGTGTCTAGAAATGATTCGTCAAAAAGTTACGCACGAAGTTGCTATGGTTAGACGTAAGAGTAAATGCTTTCCTTCCGTAGCAAAACAGGATTGGCATCGTTGAACCAACTCCCTCAAGAATTTCGAAACTATCACTGATTCGGTAGCGCAGTTCTTCTAAAATGAACCCCATAATGGAGAATGTGGTGACCATGCAACTGGTCCACCCCTGCCAATACAACGATTCGGAAAAGAATTATTTAAGTACTTCCATAAGTCACGGCGTGCATTTTCCAAAAAATTTTGTAATATTGCCCTGGTAAAAACATGAAATAGATTGTTGATTACCACGTGATGATTGGGTGATAAGCGGAAGTATGTATTTGATGAGTACCTAAAAGTAATTGAAATTTTGAAAATAATAGTGATTCGAATTGTCGTCCTTCATCGTGAGTGATCGTGGTAGTAATAACGAAACGGCTGAAATAATGCCTGAACAGAGTATCCGCAATAGAGGCTGCAGAGATATCTTTTAGAGAAAAAGCCTTTGGCAGACTTTATTTTTGCGTCTTGTTATATTTGTTTACCAAAAACAATTGTCATTGAAATATAAATAATAATAAATAAAGTTATATTTTTATGTTTTTAAATGGAGCTGCTGCCACGGCACGCTACACGCTACTTTACGGACACACTGTATAAATTACTATAATACAGTTGAATAGAAAAAACTTTTTTATTTTCAATTTTATCTAAAAAAGTTAATCTTGATAAAAAAATTTGCTAGCTCTTAGAGTAAGATTGGGATAGAAACATTTAATATATTTTGTACGCGGTGTTCAGAAAACTGAAAAAACTTTAAATGGCATAAGAGTAAAGTGCATTTATTTAAGAAGATTATGAAATAAGTTACTAGGAAAAATTGTTCAAAAGTAAAAGGTAGTCTCTAATACCAATTTTCGAAAAAATCGGCCTACTTTTATTTATTAGTGATCATTTTTGTACTAGTAGGCGTTGATAGTGACAAGCTTTATTGACACTTCGCTTTTATACTTTATTGGCCGTAGTATTGTCAGGTTAAAATGCTTACTTTACAGCAAAAAATTTACTTGGTGCAATGTTTGGCAACGGCGAAAAATGTTGTCGTCGAGTTATTCAGGAATTTAATGAAAAATTCCCCAGTGTGTACGTTTCTGAGACTACTTGTCGTAAAATAATTTTGAAGTTTTTAATCACTCATTATTGCGAATACCTAGAGAAAAGAAGAGATACGATGAAAATGATGCACTTTGTTGGTATTACATTCAGTAGAGGAACACCCGAAATTATCATCAAGAAGAAGAGTTGAAAATCTCCAATTTGTTAAAAAGTCGCAAATTCAGAAGATATTAAAACACAACAAGATAAATCCATTTTGGTTGGCAGTATGGAAAGAGGATTTCATAAGAGAATAATGTTTTCTGATGAATCAACTTTTTCGACCTACGGTGTTGTGGCTTCGCAACATGCACGATATTGGAGTGACTCTAATCCACATTTTCGAATACCACGGAGGCGTCAGAACTGTGTTAAAGTAAATGTATGGTGCGCCATTTCTTATTACGGAATAATAGGGCCATACTTCTTTGACACTACTTGTAATGTGAATAGTTAAGCTATGTTAAGAAATTTCCTCGGCGGTGAATTAGACAATCTTCCATTAAAATACAGTTGTTCATTTCATTTTCAACAAGACGGATGCCCAGCACATTATGCGGCAACGGTTAGACAATGGTTAGACCATACGTTTCCAGACCACTGGATTGGGAGACAAGGACCAGTTCAGTGGCATCCTAGGAGTCCAGATTTAACATTAATGTATTTTTCCTATGGGGCCGATTGAAACAAATTGTTTATCGCACACCTCAAATAAATGTCACTACTGATCAATTAAAGGATGCGTTTAGAGACGAAGTTGGTTTAATATCTTTACATGAGGTTAGAAAAACTTTTGATGAATTACTTGTTCGTTTAAAGGCATGTGCCCAACAGGGTGGTAGTGTGTTTGAGTAAATAAACTTACAACTTGTGCATTGTTAATTTGGAATTAGTTAATTGATATTAAAATAAATGTAATGATCACAAATAAATAAATGTAGGCCGATTTTTTCTTAAATAAATGCACTTTACTCTTTATACCATTTAAAGTTTTTTCAGTTTTCTGAACACCGCGTATAAAATATGTTAAATGTTTCTATCCCAATCTTACTCTAAGAACTAACAAAATTTTTTATCAAGATTAACATTTTTCGATAAAATTAAAAATTAAAAAGTTTTTCTTATTCAACACCTTTTCCGTGGACATACTGTATATCACTTATTTTTTTACTCAAAAGAAAAGGATCTAGAATACTATAAATTACGGTTTTGATGAAGAAAATTCTCTTGAAATGTTTTAATTCAATTTAATTATACGGCACGAACACTGTTTTTATGTTTGTTTATTTCAATGATGACCTTCAATACCACCTGTGGAATAGATGTCCAACTAGATTGCGTTCACATAGAGCATTGAAAAAGATGCGATCGAATTTTGATCGCATTTTTTTTTTTGATGAGTAGCGATTTTTCTCATGCATGATACTTGCCCGCGTGATTTTTATGATATTAAGGTACAGGTAAACTAAAAATTTCGATTGTCCAAAAGATTTTGAGTTTTTTTGCTTTAGGCGGTAGCTTTAGGGTGTAGCTTTAGGCTGTAGCTGTAGGATGTAGCTTTAGGCTATAGCTTTCGGCTGTAGCTTTAGGATGTACACAACGTATATCTGTCATTTCCGCATTAGAATACAGCTACATTTTTAGTAAATTAACTTGAATAATTACTCAAAACACTCTAACTCTTAATAACAGCCTCAAAAAAACACTGGTAGTTAAACATCACGAAAAAAAATGGAAAAATTTGCAAAGCTTGTCTAAATTTTTTTCATAAATAATTCATTTCAATTTTCGATTGATAAACTAACAGCTTAACAATTAGTGTTTACTTTATTAACAATTTTTTCAAAGATTATTCGTTTTATGAAGAATATCTGAGAGACAAAATCGGTTTGAAATATTTTCATCCCATCTAAAATTTTTCTTTTTATTGGTACTTACTGAGAACATTAACGCCGTTATTATAGGCAACTTTACACAATCCTGTTACAATTGTTGCTTAGAAAATTTAAACGCTAAAATAAAAATATAAAAAGTAAACGAAAATATTCACACATTCTAATTAACTTAAAATACATTCTTGTAAAATGAAAAAACGTTTGCGTTAAAAATATTGTATAAAATATCAGTAGCGTTTATGTTAATTAAGTATTATACATAATATTCCTTATACATAAACATCGAAAATAAAATTCAGTAGGAGATGGCCTGAAGGTACTATTTCGGTGATTTCCGAAAAAAATACGACGGTGGCTTATTAAATTCATTGCCGGGAGGCGTTCGCAGTTCACGGTTTTTTGGATGCCACCGACCCGTCACCGTTGAAATGCCGTGCATTAGAAAACGCCCAAGGGTCCCGTGAAGCACGTTAATTCGGACACGTAAATGAATTATGCATCTCGTTTCCGCGGGCTGTAAGGATTTTTGGACGGGGCCGTCATTTCTTTGCCGTAACGACAAATAAATTACCTATGTGGTTTTCGGGGGCCCACACAACTCTCCCTCGTCTGCTTTTTTATTAAGAGATGATGTGGCTTCAATCTCGACGGTCGGCATAATTAACGTTGTGGGTTTCACAATAAGAACATAACCGAAACAAAGAATAAGTTCTTTTTACTCTGCGTATAATTAATTTTTGATTTCCAAAAATTGTCATCAATTCATTTTCACCGCTATATTATAAATTTGATTTTCAAATATTTTTACATACTCAAAAAGTTTGTTAAAAAAACAAAAGATATTTATTTTCGATTCTATCACCACATTCCGTAGAAGACGCGCATAAAAATAGTAATTTTAAGGAATATTACATGGGCATAATCACAGGCCCGCATGAGAATTCAAAAGGAATTCAGCAGGAAGCGGGAGATCGCGTGATGCTATTTAGGTACAAGGCAGTATTTACATCAGACGGCGCATGATTATCATTAATTTCAATATTTTGATTTTTTAACAATGCGGAATGTGCAGACACACATAATAATTTCAAAAACTTTGTTACTTGCATAGTACTTTGTTGGCCCGGGATAAAATTTATGTAAATAATGATTATAATTTACACGAACTTGCTGAAATCGACGGTTACCCAAACGAAATGTGTATGATGGTAATAAAGTATGCATGATGTTAACTTGGCTTGTTTAAGCACACGTTTATAAATTTCAAATAAAAAATATTATTTGAATGACATCAGCTTACCTTTTTTGTTAAAATTTCTTCGGGGTTGTTATTCCATCTATTCATACGTAGACCTAAAATGAAATGTAAGCGTAAATGATTCAAAACACCTTATATACCCGTATTTTATTTATAGCGGTGAACTATATGTTTGCTTTTCAAATACGAAAATAGATATATAATAAAAATGTGCGTAACAATTGCATTTTGTAGGATTGTCGTGAACCAATGGGTTCTTGGGGAAGAGATAGGATCAAAAATAACCAACTAGCAGTGACGACATTAACTATATTTTATTTTGATGTTCTTTTAAAGGTGTGGCAACAACGGCAACTTCTATTGATTTTCAATTCGTAGGCGCCGGCGTGACGTACAATGCAATGAAAAACGAGTGTTGCATATCACTGCATCAGCACGTTCAACTAGTTGCTAAGTTAAAATAGTGTTATAATAATGATTGAAATAATGTTAAAATTATGATCAAAAAAATAATGAATTTACAACATGACTACTTTTTCTGTCAACATACAGGGAGAGTCAGATAGAGTACAGATAATAAATGAAATTATTTTCAGAGCCAAGTGTGATGGTATACCAGCATCATGGAAAAATTAGTGGAAGCAGGCCTTACGGAAATCGGCGGGTTCATAAAATTGAATGCAGAAATCACTTGCTCAAAAATTGCTGCAATAAAATCCGCGAAATAAGTAAAAGACCACGAAGCAACGGTACCAATTGCAATTCGTCAATCTATAAAAGCGAATATTTTGCGGTTTCGAATTGCAGTTATAAAACCAATGAGACACCGAGCGTCGGATTCTAGTGAGGACTTGCCACAGAAAGTAACTTCACTAAAAAAAAGGACATATTAAATAGTCTACATCACATTTTTGGTAACCACGAAAAATATGATGTGTATTATCGCACAGGTCCAAAACCCACAAAAAAAAATTTAGTTCCTGATGTGGTCGAATGTTTTTCAAGGCTTAAAGTCATGTTTACATAGATTAGAATATATTGCCTACAGCCCCATCCTCAACATGACTAATAATTCTGCCGAATCATGCAATTCCATTGTATGTAAATTTATTGGTGGCAAAAGAATTAATTTTAGTTTGCGAAATTCGTATGAAATGAGATGTAAAGCTACTGGCATATCACACAGTAATGCCAGAAATTATTACGAGGTCTTACACAATGCCTTAAGTAAAAAAACTTCCAGTATTACCAAAAAATATATGTTGAAGAAGAGAATAATAAACAGACATCGAGATACACCGCGGAAGAAAAACCGTCTACCTCCTGCCTTTGCAGACGAAAATTACGGGGAAAAAGATCCTACGATCCTGCCATTACAAACATGTCAGAGGAAAAGTTTTCTGATGAATTTTACTTAAAAAAAAACTGCTGGGGAAAGTTCTGTGGTGGAAATATCCACCAGCGGCCAAAGTTCGAATCCCTTGTGGCTAAAAGAACGTCGAAAACAGCTGACAGCGTCAAATTTCGGAAAAACACTATAAAAGCTCTTTTGTATAGAAAAACCACTGAATCAAAACCAAATAATTATGGAAGAGAATGTGAGACCATCCCAAAAGCAGAGTTTTGTACTAAAACTAGTTTGGTTGTTGAAAAGTGTGGTTTGCTTATAGGTAAGGTGCTTACAACCTACAATAATATAGTTATATGTAATATTTTGTTTAGGTAAGGACGAAGAGTATTTTTTGACTGCTAATCCTGACGATCTTGTTGGCAATAAGGCAAAAATTTCATATAAAGTGTCCTTATACTGCAAGGGATATGACGGTGGAGGAGGCTATAGAGCAAAGGGTAACAGTAGCAACTTATAAAACATTAAAATGTAATTTAATAAGTCCATATTTTGTATACCGTAGAAAATCGAGTTTTGAAAATCTATCTCTTTAATCAATCTCTTTAAAATATATCTCTTTAAATGCTTCTCTCACTGAAAGAGGTGAAATAAAAAAAAAACTTCATTTAAGTGGACGGGAGGTGGACAAAGAAAAATTTCGCCTGTTAGAAGGTACTTACTCTTATACAGGGTGTCTCAGCGAGACCGGTCATTAGACGTTTCTGGGGTTCTGGCGAAAATAAAAATTTGAGAATTCAGACTTAAGTATTATCAATTACGATCTTTTCGTCTAAAATATTTTCAGATTTCTTGCACTTCCGGTTATACCGGAAGTCGCCACCAACTTTATTTTTTTAAATGGAACACCCTGTATATTTTTACATATTTGGATTTGTCTGTTTTCAAGGTTTATAAATAACTTTACTTTTTGCAATTTGATTCGGTCGTTCTCGAGTTATTCGAATTTTTCTAGAAAAATCTGCTCCAGCAGACATTTGTTCAAAAAATCAGAAAACACTCAATTTTTGGGATATCAATTTAGGATTGAGAACATGCTTAAGCAACATGATGGAGTATGTTTTGGTGCCGAGAACTGCGGTCTAGAACGTTTGATCACTTTACTATGGCACGTTAACTTTTCAAAATTTGGAAGTACCATAACTTCATTTTTTTAAATGGCACCCCCCATATTTTATTTTTTAGTCGTCTTCGGTGTCTCATTCTACATCTTTTATATCCCATATGGCCCATACCTAATATTAATAGTTTGGGAGATAATTAGGGTTTTTTGAAAAATGCACACATATCATATGGATATTTAGCCTAGTGTGCCATGAAAAACAAGCCTTCTCAATGAGTTCTTGTCAAAGACTCACTTGTTTACGTCACTTGATGCATGTGAGCTAATAATTATCTGTTATGTCCCTTAATATTAGTACTGAAACGAGTTAAAATCGATAACAATAACGAAAGTAATATTTACACAAATCAAGAAATTCTTAATTTATTTTTTTTGCATGAAAAGCGCGACAAAGTTCGTAGTATGATTCCCAGATCTTCTTTGGCAGCTCGAATTGAGGTGTTGGGACTGGGCTCGAAATAAGCCAAGGTATTCACCTCTTCCGTTGCATTATCTACTACATTTTTTGGTCAGTTTAACACGTGATTAATTCGTCCAAAATGCAAAAAATTTGCTTCTATTCCTCTAAATTTACCTTTTGTCATCGGAGATAAATGTGGATAATTTTCATTAAACATTCTGCAAGTTCTACTAAGAACTTTGTCGCACTTTTCGTGCACAAAAAATAAATTATGGATTTCTTCATTTGTATAAACATTATTTACGTTATTAATATCCATTTTAACTGGTTTTAGACTCACAAGCATCAAACAACCTAAATTAGACTTTGACGTTTATCAATAAGTCATTAAACATTTGTTTTCCATGGCACACTAGGTTAATATCCATATGATATGTGAGCATTTTTCAAAAAACCCTAATTATTTCTCAAACTATTAATGTTAGGCATAGGACATATGGAATATAAAAGATGTAAAATGAGACGCCGAAGACGACTAAGTAATAAAATATGGGGGGTGCCATTTAAAAAAATGAAGTTATGGTGCTTCCAAATTTCGAAAAGTTAACGTATCATAGTAAAGTGACCAAACGATCTAGACAGCCGTTCTCGGCACCAAAACATACTCCATCATGTTGTTTAAGCATGTTCTGAATCCTAAATTGATATCTCAAAAATTGAGTGTTCTATGATTTTTTGAACAAATGTCCGCTGGAGCAAATTTTTCTAGAAAAATTCGAATAACTCGAGAATTGCTGGTTCAAATTGCAAAAAGTAAAGTTATTTATAAACCTTCAAAACAGACAAATCCAAATATGTAAAAATATACAGGGTGTTCCATTTAAAAAAATAAAGTAGGTGGCGACTTCCGGTATAACCGGAAGTGCTAGAAATCTGAAAATATTTTAGATGAAGAGAACGTAATTGATAATACTTAAGTCTGCATTCTCAAATTTTTTGCTTGGCTAGAACCCCAGAAACGTCTAATGACCGGTCTCGCTGAGACACCCTGTATAAAGAAAATGTTTTCTGTAAATGATCAATTTGCGTTTTGTAGATCCAAAAACAACGAGCATTATGGGAAAATATGCAAAAAAATTTTAAAAATTTATATTTCAAATGTGTACTACCAAAATTAGTAGATCCTAGGTTTTCCAGATCTCCACCTCACAATATAATTCGGAATCCCGATCAAAGAGATTGACTCTAAAAGTAAGTATTAATTAATCGCTTCTGGTAAACGCCCTGTATAATCACATCCAATAGCAACCAAAATTAGCGGTGTTGGAATGACCCAAGCTTTGTTTATCGACATGCCAAATTGCAATCTTCAATATTTGATAATAATGCTAATAACGAATTTTAAGTGTTCACATGACTTTTCAAAATTTTTCACAAAATAATGAATAACTTGGCAACCTTGCATTCAAAATTTGAAAACAAGGTGTGCAGTTGTAACATTTAAGGCAGCTAATCAGCATATGTAAAAGATACATAGGGTTCCATTTAAAAAAATTAAGTTCGAGCACGATACTGCAATAGTCGATTTTTTTTATTTAATCGATGCAGCTTTGATGGCAATATATGATGGGATAAAAACATTTTTTTAATTTTCAACAGTAAAGCCCCTATCTTCCGTCCCCGCGCTATAGACTCAGCCTATACATTAAAATTATACAAATTATAATTATCACATAATTTCACAATACCAGTCATAAATTATTATCTTAATCGAAAGAAATGTATACAATTTACAAATCAAAAATCTACTTCTCAAAATTACTTCTAATAAGCACCTTGACAATAGAACCAAATTAAAACTCTATCCCAAGGATTATAAAAAAAAATAATTTAACAACCGACTTCCTTTCATTGTACCCTAAAGGTTCGCACATATATTACTCAACACGCTCTATTGCCGCAAAAGCGACAAATGCGCTCCATTTTCCGTCTTTCTCGTTACTTAACCAGTTTTGGATTACGAAATGGTTGAAAAGTACGAGCAAAAGGTTGTCGTAAAAATGGGCGTACTATAGTAGACCCCAAACCCGGCGAAAGTCAACTTTAGAGTTTGGTTTGGAACGACTTTAGATCTCGAAGAGAGTTGTTTCGAACGTGCCGAGAAAATGCATTTATTGTGTGTCGGTTTTGCTTTGATCTTAGGAATTTTTGGTGTTTATGCCATAAATATTGTAAGTATATTAATATTAAGTTTTATCCAAAAAAGGTTTAATATTTATTGAAAATTTTTTATATTGTTGCATCATTATTAAAAATGTTATATGATAAAATGTTACACTAATAAGTGTTTTAAAATCATTTTAAATAACGCCAAGTAATTTTGTAGAAACGATTTCAATTACATCATCATTTTCCCCTTAAATTACCCATGAACCAAAACCAAGTAGCAAAATTATTTTCACGGTCTAGTGATCTGGAAGTGATATAATTATTGCTTTACAAAAATTCTTATACAGGTGGCATGAAATTTGAGCAAACTTCCAAGAAATTCTTTTAAATTTAAGTACTACACTCGTGTGAAATAATACTCCCAATCAGTTTAAAGATCTACACAACGGTCCACTGTAGTGTACACCACTTTTCCATTTTTTCTTAATTTTTTCGAAATTTCAAAAAAAATGTCAATAATTATGAAAAAAAAATAATGTAATATGTATACCAAATTTAATAATTTTATCACGACGATCACGACAAATAAAAAGTCGTGACTGAAAGGGTTAAGACGTAATTGTTGAACCGAGAAATAGGAAGTGAATTGTTTCCAAAATCTATTTTTAAAAATTGCTTCACGAACGTCTAACTTATTTTTGAAACTAAAAAATTTGTACATTTTGAAATGCAAAATTTGAGGTATTTTCTTAGATGTAACTTTTATTGCATAGAAAAGTAAACAAATGCGTATTTCCGGAATAAAATAAACTTTCTAGACAAATTTTGCAAAAAAACTAAACATTATTTAAAGGAAGCACTTCACATGTAGGCTCTTTTTTACACTTTAAACATCTTGCGGTCTTCTAATGATAATGGATTATTAATGGAAATCATTTTTACACTGCGCTAGAAGAGTTGTGCTAAGTCTTCTTCTAAATTTTAGCGTAAATCTAATGCTTCACCATCTCTCCTCTGTAATTGGAAGACGTTGTGGACTAAATTTCAATACAATAGACTTTAAGAGGGAAACTCCACCTTTCTCCCCATGATAGATGTACGATAAAGACTCAAATTTTGATCATATTTGTCGACACCCATATTCTTCTTCTTTCTAATATGGATATCCATATTGGTATGCTATTGGTATATCTTTTTGCAGAATGAACTGAATTCACTGTTGCTGAATTAGATCACAAAATAACAATACTATCGTCATGCCATTTAAAAACGATTATATTTTTGCCATGAACATTTTCCTAATTGTGGTATCTCCTTGGCTCATTCAAAATTTTTTTCGAATCCATCAAAGAAATAGCTTGTATTGCTTATTATTAGATAAAAGATCCAATAGGGACAAGGTAGAACAGAAATTATCACAAAAAGGTATAATTGTTCATTAGGACAATTCTTTCTTTAAAACGTGGGCATATTCCAAAACTACAGCAGAAGCCATGTTTACACGGCTCAAACCCAAGTCGCGTTGCCCTTACAGTCAGTTTATATCCATATCGAATGGGATTCCCATGCATAAACTGTTTACAGCCAAGCTGATCAAAGTATAGTATCATGCTTCCTGAACGCAATTCATCTTCTCGCATATATTATTTTCCAGAAACTTTTATTGAGTCGCCCACTTCCATTTCAGTTTTGTGTCTAAGATAAAAGTAAGACATAATATATTCAAAATTACTTCGAGATATTGCTTCAGCAACCAACACTTGGTAATTGCATGTACCCACCAACAATAAGTAGTAATGCTGTAACTAATACACCTATGAATGCTTTTATTTCCTTTTGTTACGTGGTGATTCTTCTGATTTACATAACGATTAGTCCTGTTTACTATTAGATCTAATATCATCGAAAAAAGAGAAGTAACTCCAAAGAACCTTAGCGATTATCTTATTCAGCAGCTTGGACAATAAAAATTATAGTATCAGGCTTCAGGGGGCAGGCCTCCAGGGGGTGCATATTTCGGGATATGTCGGTATTTACCGGAAAATGTACACATTGTCTTTCTATTTTGATAGAAGTGAATTACATATTTACTATAAGGAAAATTGGTTGCTTAGAATAAATGCACCCTCACCCACTCAATTCCAACTAGGGTGTTTTTGTAATTGTCAAAACTTGACAATTTTCTATCGTTCATGCATTTTAAATGGTTTTATATCAAATAGATGGTTTTCTTTACGGCTTACGATATTCCCCATCTGAGTTATGTAGAAATCGAACTTCCCCAAGAGCGTTATGTCTTCGGTAAATGTGCACATTACCTTAACATACACACTGGTGCGCTTTTTTTTCCAGAAAATGTTGTTCCATTATTTCCAACGTGTTTCTTTTATTTTCAGTTTTTAACTATTTGAACATTTTTATCCCACGTTCTCTTGCACATTCCTCAGCAAGTATGTGTACTGTACTCCTCAATTTTCTAAACTTTCCGCAAATTAAACACTAATCCTAAATTATACTTTTGGCAGAATGTAAACCTATAAATTTGAGATGCCATCCTTATCGGATTGTTCTGCACACAATGCAACTTAATAATTGTCCAATTGGAGTAATCTCTCTTAGTTGATTTTCTGAAGTAGTGGGATCCATCCACGTTTATTACTTACAGCAAATATGCCAATATCTTTTGCAACGGCAGTGTTTATTATTTCATTTTGATGTCCAAAATTGACAAAAAGGAAATAACAATGCTGAATATTATCTATTCGAGATCCTGTTTCGCTTATAACCTACCTGCACTTAATATATATAGTATCAACAGAAAGAATAAAAGAATTATTTCGATTGATCATATCTTTCTTAACTTTCAATATTCGGAAAACAGAAAGCTTTGTTTTTAATGGACCGCTATTATCATCATATGGTTGAGCTATTCAAGGGATTGTTGCTATGGTTACACCTATCCATCAGATAATCTTAACAAAAAGACGATGGAAACGTATCTTAGAATTTCAATTACGTACAACTTTGTCGGTATCTGAGATAAAGTGGAGCTGTAAAATGGCATTCCGAAAAGTTCAATTTGTACCGGATGGAATATCGTTCAGGAGTCAGGTCGAAATAAGTAATTTCCACTTAGAAAATCTCTTTATCTCTTATTATAACATTATTTTTCTTCCTTTCATCACTATAAGTCTAATAACTTACCACCATTCATTAACTATTATTGTTTGTAAGTTGGAGCTTGTAAGGCGGAAAACTTACCATAACTATTCTAGCTTTTACGCCTTTTCAAAAGGACTAAACATGGGATATGAGATGAAGATATTTCAAAAGTTTTTTGAAAATACATTTTTAGAAAGATAACCTTTAACGGAGTATGGCTGCCTTTACAGTTATCGCAACAGTCATTTAAGCAACTTTCCTATTTCTGCGGAAGCATAGCTTATTTTATTGAATAAGTTTCATGTAAATTTCTAATTCTAATAGAAGGAATCAACCCAAACCTTTCGTGCATCTCAACATTGTTTTTCGAATTATCGAAATTTGTAGATCTCCACATGTTTCATAAATTGGCGCACTCATTATTCAAGAACGACTCCACCAGGCTTCCAAGTTTCTGGAACTTTTACGTCAATTGTTTCAGCATATATAAATACTTTTTGGTAACGCCATAATAATCTATAAAGAGGATCACCAAACTGAAATTTATTAGTATAATAAATTTCCCGGTTTGACCCATTAGTCAGCAATTTTCAAAATGTTCACTGACGCCACTTTTGGACTTATTGAACATGGACATTTTCTTCAGTATAGCGATAACCGGCTACCTTGAAGTTAAACATGCCACTTTTTGCAGTGTCTATATTATATTCCACGACTAAAGCTATCTGTTTGAACCAGATAATTAACTTTCTATTATTTTACCTCCTCACAGATTCCTAAGATTTGCCAAAGGGTACTAAAAAATTTTTTACATCTTATTGTGGAAGGAACTTTGGACACCTGATTTTCCTGTACTTTCGAACGGTGTCCTGTGCCACCATGCTATTGTTCAAAGATGAAAGATTAACATATTGTTTATTCAAATTAGATGCAAGATTTTGGGAAATTGGAACTTCAAACTGGAATTGGGTTGGCTAACTAATACTTTTGGCTAAACACAACCACCGTACAGTTTCCTATATACATATATATATGTTCAAAAGCAGCAATACTTAAAATATGTGACTTTTTCCTGATCTTAGAATAATTTGAAATTATTACTTAAAAATTTAACAATAGTTGTTTTCTAATGTCGAAAGATTTTTCAATTCTTCGTCTCTATAACGTGGCAACATTTTTATGGACAAAAACTTCATTGGTAAAAATAGTAATAATTTCCTTGATTCTTCCTAGTATTTTTTTAAAATCTTAAATTTTTTTCATTTCATTAGACTTAATTTACTGTGACCATTCGACAAATTTTATTAAAAATCAAATATTTTAATCAGATAGATATTCCATTCCTAGTAAAACCAGTTTTGACCATTTTGGTCTTCCAGAATTTTATGACAACTTTGAATTTTCTGTCACCTGATTCTCTATCATCACAACTTAAGTGTAAACAATTTTGTTTCACTACTAGTTGATTCTCCAGCACAACAAAGTTTTGTTTGTTTGCTAAAATAAGCTTCATCACACATTATTACCATTGCATTTGAATCTTCCTCAAACAACACTTAGATGTTGAGATTCCGACCATTCTCCTGCTGTTTGTAGGTAGAAGTCAAGTCTTTTTGATTTAAAGCACGACAACTTAAAACCATCGGAATTCTTTAAAAGAGCAGATGTAAATTTAAAATCACTTCGTTTTCTGAAAGCAACAAAAATACCGGAAACTTCCTTTTTGGACAATGTGAGAATATCGAGGAAAAACATCTTTAACATAAATCGATTTAATTAATAAAGCAACACATTTCCAAAAATTAGATTTTGTTAATATTGTTCATTAAGAATGCTTATAGATATAAGTTTAATTTTGAATCTGATCATAAACTACTTACTATTCAGCATCCTCGTCATTATGTATTCTAACAATATACTCCAGCTAATAGAATAGAAGATAGAATAAAGAATATGTTCAATATCTGTCAAAATTTTGTTCTATCCCTTTCTGTGATAAAATTTGATGCTTTAATATAATATGTTTTTAGAACGATTATGGAGTTCAGTACGCTGTTTATCCAAGTCAACAACAAGTCGAATATGCACCTAAAAAACTGCGTCAACGCGAAAAGGAAGAAAAACAAGATTTTTCAAAAATCCCGGGAAAACCAGGAGTTGACTATCCAATTTTTCACGTAGCTCCACCAACTCATTTTTCCTGCCATAACGTGCCAGCCCATCCAGGGATGTATGCGGATGTTGAAACTGGTTGCCAAGTTAGTCTCAATATCTTAATTTTTTTTTTCTTCCAATTCTAGTAAAGATTATAATTTTAATTTTGATATGTGTTTAAGGTTTATCATGTGTGTCATGATGGTAGAGAAGGTGAAAAAGGAGCTACTTTTCTTTGTACCAACGGAACAATTTTCAATCAAGCCGAGTTTACTTGCGATTGGTGGTACAATGTTAATTGTCATGAAGCACAAAGTCATTACAGATTGAATCTTGATCCGGAAAAGAATCCGTATTTCCCAAAAAAGAAAGTAGAGGAACAACAAGAGCAACATTATCAAGAACAACCACAACAGCAATATTATCCAGCACAATACTCTCACTACTAAACTAGCGTATTACGTAATTTCGAACTTAATTTATTGGCTTTTGAGTTTCGTGCGTGTAAACTGTAAATAATTGTCTAAATAAAACGTTCTAAATTTCTGTGATAGTTGTTTTAGTATGTGACCCGTTTTCCGTTTTATAACCTCGAACGGTAAAACCATATGCAACATTTTCTATTTACCAAAAACTTTCACCTTCCGTATATGCGCTCAATTCACTAGATTCGAGGTTATTGCTATCACGAGTTGTTACTATAACTAAATTTATTTTAGAATTAATTCAATGCATGTACTAGTTATTAAGATGTTCTTTAAAATATTTTCTTACTTTACATATTAATATTTTCTTCTATTTTCAATTCATCGAGGACATTCTTCATGTAAGATTAAGTAAGCGAGTAAATCCAAGCTAGGGTTTTCATAACACCTATGATTAGTTGCTGGACGATTATTCCTAATTAGATTCTGCTGGTACGAAATGAGCACCAAGGCAATTTACTCACCACTTAACCCGTTTTACTCTTTTTTCTCGACGGTTTCACGTGCTACCTCCAAGTTGGCTTCCGTATCTGCGGCGCCTACAGTTCACCATAATCGATTACCTCAATCTAGTAAATGAATTACATCCACGAACAGCTTGCGCTAGTAAATTAATTAAATTTGAATCTTGATGAAATTTATTCGTTTAGGATTGTATAAATAGAATATCAGGTTATTGTATTTAATCAAAAGTAATTAAGATGTTTAAATTTTTATTGCTTAATTATTTTTTAATATACAAATTTCTCAAACTAAAAATAATTTGGAAACCTAGCTGTACATAATAATTAAAATAAAAGTACGCGTTATTATCTAAATGATACTAAAAAGTTAAACAATTTTTTATCCAACTACAATGAAGACTATTTAGAAGAAAGTAATACTAATATTATTTATCTAATAATATTTGAATTCTTATACAAATAACTTCTAGTTCCAGTATATAATCGAGATACCTTAATAATAGATTTATCGCTACTTTTCGGTGGTTTAGATTGCAAAAATTTATTTAAAGAATTAGATAAAACATATAAATTCCCACTATTATCCATCCCAAAACTAGCGGGCCAAATATATTCCATTTGATCGTGAATAATCATTTTGGATGTAATAAACGGTTCAAAAATATTCCATTTACATATACCATAAAGATTTAGTATTCCATAATACATATTTCCTTCGTTATCAATCATCATTCGATCACTAACACCTTCCCTTTTTCCAATATACTTAATCCCCCTTCTCCAAACATCACCTCGCATTAAAACTTGATTTTTTAAGAGTTTATTGCTTATCGCAAACATGTTAACTCCAATCAACGGGGTGTAATAAATTAATCGTTCTTGGTTAGGATTTTTGGGAACTGGTGATAAAGCTATGCCGTTTATGTTTTGAAGTTTCGAGTTTTGATTACCTTCAACGACGAAATTTGAAGCTGTGATTTCAGCAAACATCGATCTATCTCTAATTTTCCAAGCTTTATCAAGATGTTTAGAATAAACAATTATTCCAGGGTCGTGATCACTGCTTTCTGTTATGTAAGCGAATCCCCCATCAGTTTCATCAATAACCAAATCAGTTAGAAATCCACCATAAACTGATGAAAGATGTTCGGGAAAATCAAAGTAACGAACAACATTTCCCTGTCGTTTTAAATCCAAAAGAACCAATTTCGGCGGACATTTAGTCCCATTCGTAATTCTAACACCATCCAACACCCACATCACTCCATATTTATCAATTTCCATACTATAAACATTTTGTAACGCAGCACAATGATCCAACGAATTCATTTTCCAACTCGGATAAGGTTTCAATAACTTATTATTTTCATATTTGCCCGAATTCGTCATCACCGCTAAAGTAACCGGGGTTCCCTTAAACAATCTTGGCAATGCAACGTACATTTTATCTGTATAAAACTTTATGTTGCTTATTACATTATTCGCGGGAATGTATTTTCCGTTAATAATCGCCAAATTATAATCGTCAGCATTCAACCAAGTAAAATTAACGTAATTCCAATCGTAAATCACTTCAAATCTTTCCACTCCGCGTTTTCGTTGAAGTCTTGCGTTCTCGTTTGATTCGTTCACACAATAAGCGACGAAGAGAAAACTAAGATAACGACACAAATTGGAAACTGACGGTTTGGAAACATCCATCGTTACAAGTTAAAACTGAAATCAAGAAGTCGAAACGGCAAATGATCGCGTTTGATCGAAAAACTCGGATTTATGTGCCCTTTTAATTGGAGATCTAATCTTAGAAATCGAAAGTAGGTAATTGGAAGGAAGTAGGTGAGATTATTAAGCCAATTTGAAATCATTAGAAACGATTTATTTTCGGCATAATTTATCAGTTAGTGGTGGTTCTTGGCAAATTGAGGTGAAAATAAGGAGGTTAACAAAGATGTAAAAATTTGAATAAATTACTTTATAAAGTAAAAATGTTGATTCTGATGGTTCTTAATACTATTTATATTTTCTTTTATTATTTATTAGGAATCAGTGGGTAGACTAATAGATTTAATTGGCCGGTTAGTGACAGGCTAGAGGAATATAGATATAGATAATATAGATGCTTAATTATCAGAACACGAACTAGAGTAGAGGGAAGAAAGTCTTCTTTCTAGTCGGGGAATTAATCCCCTTTTTATTCTTTCGGTTTAAATGTCATCAAATCCATTTGTCTCCTACTAACGGAAATTGGAGGATACTAACTTGATCCTCAACAGCAAAGCATGGTAGCAGCTGGCATTGGAGGAGAGGCTCTTCATTCCATCCGGAGACTAGAATCTGCTGCAAGATTGAGACAATCCGAGCAAGTGTCGCCGAGATGTCAATTGATCAAGTATCCCTTCTCCGCCTTCAGCAACCTGTTTAGATATTATCATAATCAGGCTCTGGTGGTAAAATAATACAAATTGAGCAAAAACTAGAACTAACACTAGCACTATCACTACAATTAGAAACATTCGGGTTAAGCCGTGTATCTTTTGAAAAAGTGGCACTTCGAACTTGTTTGTGAAGAAGGTTGCAACATGGCTAAGAAACGTTAAACACTTTTTTGCATCTCTCGGAGGATCTCTCCTCTATCTTGTACCGTTTCAAGTTTTTTCACATTCACTTCGGACCCAGAGCACGCGCTGTCCAGTCCATTTGTGTATTGCGAAGCTTCTCTTCAAAACTTATTGATATTAACCATTGATAACAACCCACCTTTGGCAAAAGTGGAAAAACGTTTGCTTAGCTTAATCTCACTCTGTTCACCCAGCGATATCAGACATCAGTCACTATTGATATTAAGTGTAACAAATATGCTTTGGGTAACTGTTGTTGAAAATCTTGTCCTAATTATTCCTACTTGGTAATCGTTCTTGATAACATCTTGGCTTTCCCAGAGGTCAGCATTAATTCTCGATCAATTATCCAGGTGAGTCTTAATACTCTGTCGTTGACGTATTCTTTGGCAATTTATTCGTAAGATGCCGTTATAAAATATGTTCCAATACTCCAGATCACGTCACGTTGCTGATTCGTCGACATTTTCTTGTGTGCCCTAACTGTGGGCATCATTCTATTCCAGGCTCAACAGGAACTCGTCCCATCGTGCCGTGTTAAAGGCAACTATGTTTCTGGAGCATGAGTTTACGTCCTCGTCTCCTGAAATGTATCCAATATATTGTATTATCAGTGGGCAAGTATAGTAGCGCCTGTAATGCTCTTCTGCTACAGTGCCGTCAAAAATATTTTAAAAAAATCGCCAATGTGAAGCAGATAACTGCCTTTTTGTTAATTTATAAGTATCAACTTATGTTTATTCCGAGCTTGTGGAAAACTCCTTCCCTTATGCGTTACCAAGCATCCTTCCATCCTAGCACCCCTTCAATACTAGAACTTGTTTTTAAACTAGGAGTAAAATGATCTTGTTCATGATTGGTTGAATGCGAAATAGTTTTACATAGACGATTTTTCTATATTATTTCTCCAAACGCTTTGATACAAAAAAAAGAACATTAATACAATAATAGAAATAAATGATAAACGTTAACAACAATAATAAAAAGTCAAAAAGAATCGAGTCAATAGGTCATTTAATCTCCCCTCATCACTCTCCTATACACTGTAAGTCTCTGCTTTATCTTTTCTCTATTCACTACATTCCTTGATTTTAGTAATAATTCTATCACTCATCCCACCTTGTTTTCCTGGGTTTTTCACATATTTACAGTCCGATTCATGCTTCTCTGGCAATCTTTGTTTAATTCTATACTTCTCCAATTATTTACCCATGTCTCCACCAAACCAATTACACCATCCCCATTTCTACTCTCTTGAAGGTATCCTTCATCCATTTGTACCTATCTTATTTTTGAAATTCACCCATTCCGTTTTACCTCTTCACAATCGTAGTCAATCATTCTCTCCAGTCTTTTTAAATCTTTCTTTAAATGTACACACTCTACTGCTTGTCATGATCGCATATTGTCCACATTACAGTGCAACTCATACATACTGATTCTGCCCTTCTCTGTTGAAGGCTTTAAATTTATATTCCTCCTTTGTACAATGAGCACAGCTCTTATACATATCATCCATCTGTCTCTCTTGAATTCTCACTTTCTTCCATTCTTGTGGTTCTTATTAGTGCTGGGCAAAATATCGATACTTATGGATGGTATCGATACTCGATGAATTTTGTGTACTTGCAAGTACCAAAACATAAAATAGCTACATAGCTTTTTTTTTTTCTTTCAAAGAGATATGTTTGTTTTATTTAGTTCAAATGTGTAATTAGAATCCTCGATTTTAATATGAAAGTATGACTGAAATATTTTTTTTCTTCTTCTACAATGTTTAGCTTACTTTTATTTATAGCTAATTTACTTTTGCCATCAAATAACAATAGACAACACTCATTCTTTTAATATTCCATACATGAGGTCATTAAATTCAGCCTCAACAGCTAATTAACTTGACATTATTATGGTAAACAATAATACAAGAAAAATATCGATTCTTTTCTTTCTACAAACATGAAAATATTTAGACGTTAAAATATTAACCAAATAAAATATAGTTAAAAGATTGTGTAAAAATTAACACTTTAAGTACCTATTCAAAAACACGTCTAATTTGAAGTGTCATTTTTTATTATGTATTAAACTTCTTTATTAGGTATATTATGTATTAAATCTCCCCAGAAATTTTCTTATGCGTTAGTGATTTGTGAAAACATTGCAATGCTTGTCAACTATTAAACATACCGTCGCGTTTTCTACAATGCTTAAGCTAAAAGAACATAGAAATTCTAATGGTTATATATTTTAAAAAATAAAGTGTCCTTAAAAGGTTATTATGAAATGCGTTATTTGTAGAAAGTCTAAATTGTAATGTTGAATTGATAACAGGAAACTTGTGGCCACTGCATTCACCTAATACCAAAACATAGACATTGGAATCCAAACCACGCTCAGATTTATTGTATCATAAACCTCTAAAAAGTGCAGAACCACAAAGAAGTCTGATTTAGAATAGCTGTCGCAATGATTATCGTTATCTGGTACCTACTTATTACAATTAGTAGTACAACTAGAAGAATCTACCACATGCAAAAAGCAATTTTTCAAAAAATGGTCGGCACCAAAATCTATCCTAATCTTCTAACAGTACAGCGTTTATGTAAGATCTACTTCAGTTCTTTAAAAAATAACGAAAATACAATAACAGAAAAAGTAAAAACAAACGAGAATTAGAATTAAGTTCGGAACCATGAATTTCTTCTAATTACATATATCCAAATCTAAACCAGAATAACCAAAACACATTCGCAGTTTTATATAGTTTACTTGTCAGTAGTACTATTCGTTAACTAGTTTGAAACTGAACTGAAAATTGAGAAGAAAAATATCATAAAACTGGACAATTAAGTTACAGCACAAGATTGGATTGATGAATGAGAAGTACCAGATTCTTTCAAATGAGGAAATTTCATAAGACCCATGCTAGCCCACGGAACCATTTTTTGTGCTAAACACTAAAACATGCATATAAGGCTAGATTGCAGCACCAATTGCAACGGCTGGCTTACTTGTTAATTACGGACGCCATGAGATCGACACCTACGATCGCGAGACTATGCTGAACGTGCTGCCTCTAGATATTTTTATCAGGGAGGTGGACGTGATGGCTTTGCTTCGATTACGATCAGTGGATAAATAAGCAGGTTGTAAAAATGGGAATAGTAAAGAACGAACTCTGGAGTGGGGCTGTTCATAAACAATCCCTCCTTGAAGCTCGCACAGACTACATCACACCTACTTTCTTAAACAGGCCACACTTTGGTATTGAGACGACACCCCAGAGCAACTTTAGCGCAGGTAAAACGCTGACCATCACACTGATGGATGAAAGAATTCTGGAGGCCTTCTCCATTTCGCTAGGGTCATACTCCACGACTGCTAATAACTACTATAAATATAGCAGCTAATGTGATCATCGACTTCAAAAAAGTTGGCAGAAACGTTGTAATTTGCACTAATAGCAGACAGACTATACTAGCGCTTAGTAGACATCGAACTACATCATCGATTGAATCACTTGAGGGGGCTAATGTTTATAACAACGTCACGATAAAGTGTCGGAAAGGACATACCGAAAATAAGGGACACGATGGTGCGAACAGGCTGAACCGTTTGTACCACAAAGTTACAACATCAAAGCTGATCAACTCCATCTCCCATTGAGCTTTTTGCGATAGATGGGATGAGACTGCAGTAGGTGTCTTTGTAAAGAAAACTCTGCTCTACTCTGACCGCAAGGTTACGTAACCATATGTTCTACCTGAAGCTGGCGAACACACCCCCTTTGTAGAGGGTGTGAAATGGAAGACGAGACGATAAGTGATGTTGTTTATGACTGTCCCAACCTCGCGTACTTAAGGGAATCCATTTTTGGGGTACCATGGCCCCAAATTTCGGACATAAAGAACATCTTTTGTTCTATGTTAACGTTCATTAACACCGTGGGCTGGTTTTCTGACCCCTGAATGAACTGTAAATAGTGGGGATGTACAAATAGTACTGTGACGGAATCCCCAAATGAAACTACATACATACATGGATACATAACTGTATAACCTCTGTACTACTATCTGTAGAGTACATCAGTAATAAGAGGCAATGTAGAGGCAGCGTAAATAAAACCTCATACTTTACTGCCTTGATACAAAAATAATTAATTTGCGAAATATGTTATTAAATAAGCAATTAATTTTAAAATCTTCAACAAAAATTACTTTTAGATCGTATAAACATCCCAAAACAATTATAATTTTGAGAATTCGATAAAGCTGTATGGAATTGTAACGAATTCTTTACAATTTACCAATGTATCAGGATATTTCAGACCAATTCATCATTTAATTTGCTACATTAAAGAATCTCTATATGACTTCAATCTCCTAGAATAGTTGTAACATTTAACCGTTTGAGTCCCAAGCAGCGCGTTTGAGCCAGTACCCAAACATTCGCTAGGGTCTTTTGGTACTCATTAAAAGAAAGCGCGGTTGCGCTTGTTCGGGATTTTTTTACAGTGGTTTTTCAATATCCTTTGGTATCCAAACAATTAATATCACAAATGTTATATTTATGGGTTTTCCAATCATTAAAACTATTCTTCCTCGAAATAATTTATTAGTTCGACAATTTATTTTAAAAAACAACACTTTTGAAAGAATAAGAATAAAAAAAAAATAATATATTAAACTAAACTTCTTTCTTTTAAAGGTAATTAAAACACCTAAAATTTGAAAAAAAAATTAGGTGTTTCATTACAAAAATCAAAAAATATATCATATAGTAATAATACTTAAAGTACTTAAAATATGAGGCGATGAATATAAAGTGGGTAAAAATGAAGGTAACATAGCTAAATATTGAAAAAAGTATAAGTAATCTGAAACTTTAAAGGTTTTACAACTCTGGTTAAATCTTAAACTACAACAAAATGTTTTTTATTTTTTTAATTATTATTCAAGAAAATGTTTCATTTAAGAATTCTCGAAGATAACTATAATAAACTGCGCCAAAGTTAAAGAAATTTTGAACCAAAATTGCTTGTTTTTTTTTTTTCAATTTTGATTCAAATTTTAATTAAAATGACTGATTTAAATTGACTAACTAGTTAATATGAACTAAAGAATTGTCAAATTTAACATAATCTTGAATGCTTTTTTTTTTAACATTATTTACTTATTTACATCAAAAATGTTTATATTAATATATTTTTTTAATAGAAATCAATCATATTCAAAACTCATTAACACTTACCTTTACATAGATATGTTCGTATGTACACATAATGCTCAAAAATAAAAAAAAAAAGTAAAAAAGAATGATTCGTAAGGTAAAGATTTGAAAAAAAAAAAAGGAGAAAATTGTTAATTACCATAAAAACTTATAACGATGGACAATCGAACTTTGGTCCTTTTATGACAAAAATTTCGCTATAAGGTTCATTTTGCTCTAAATCTAAAACTTGAAACTTCTTCAAGACAAGAAGACTGTAGAACTTTTGAGATGCCTAAAATTAAAATAAAATAAATGAAATACATTAAATATTAAAGTATTAAAAAATATACCTGTTTCCTGTTGTTTCTGTAGCACATTTCCGTTGTTGTTATTTGATTGGTATTTTGTAGTTTCTTTCGAACAACAGTAAACATTTGATAAGCTCTTTTATTAAGGACTCTTTCTTCAAATTGTTCATCCGACTCATCAACTTGTTGTTCATCAGCCTATTATAACAAAAAGGTTAATTTTTAGGAGAAAATTTTTAGTTAAGAGAAAAGCACTTACTGGATCTGCAGAATGGGGAAGATCATAATCGCCTTGCCATGGCGATTGAACCCTTTCAGACATCCCTCCAGGTAACCCATCAGCATTATGTTCATCATAACCCATATTAGCCATTTGAATATCACCCTAAAAACATTTTTTAATCAAAATTAACTTAATTATCAAAATTATATTAATACAGTAAAACCTCGATATAATTGACCTCATTAGAATGGACAAAATATTTTTAAGTCATACTATTAATATTATCTATTTAATACATCAGTATTTTTAAATATATACAGGGCGTTTCAGCGAGACCGTTCATTAGAAGTTTATGGGGTTCTGGACAAAATAAAAGTTTGAAAATTCAGATTTAAGTATAATCAATTGCGTTCTCTTCGACTAAAATATTTTCAGGTTTTTAGCACTTCCGGTTGTACCGGAAGTCGCCACCTACTATATTTTTTTAAATGGAACATCCTATATATTTTTACATCTTTGAATTTGGCTATTTTCAAAGTTTATGAATAACTTTACTTTTTCCAATTTGATTCGGCCATTCTAGAGTTATTAGATTTTTTCTAAAAAGATCTGTTCTAGCAGAAATTTGTTCGAAAGATCAGAAAACACTCGATTTTTGGGATATTTGAGATTTTTAGGATTCAGAACATGATTAAGCAACATGATGGAGTATGTTTTGGGGCCGAGAACGGCTGTCTAGATCGTTTGGTCATTTTACTATGACACGTTAACTTTTCGAAATTTGGAAGTACCATAACTTAGTGGCCCTTAGTCTCATAACTAAAATGAGACGCCGAAGGCGACTAAGTAATAAAATATGGAGTATGCCATTTAAGTAGGCAGCGACTTTCAGTATAACCGGAAGTGCTAGAAATCCGAAAATATTTTAGTAGAAGAGAACGCAATTGATAATATTTAAGTCTGAATTCTCAAATTTTTATTTTGGTCAGAACCCCAGTGTTGAGGATTAATTGGACCGCGTTATGCATCACTTGACTAAGCGACAAATGAATAATGTTGAGAAAAACGGGATTTTCGTTTTTATCTCTCTAAAAATATAAGAATTGTTCTCAGAATAGACAGGCTCAAACTGTTGAAATTTATCACAGAACACTGATGACAGCTATCACAAGCACAGAAGCCGCTTGGCGTAACGTAACGAGTGACGTTTTACGGTTATACAGTATGTTTCTGTAAGTCATGGCATAAATTTAATCACTAAAACTAGAGACAAAATGATGACGATACGTGCAAAATTTTTTAAAGAAAATAATCTGGAGTTTGATTTTGTACTTTTAAACTCGTTTTTATTTTATATAGAACTTAAGTCTAATCAGTTTCAGCCCTTGGCCATCTTCAGACACTCTATGAATGGATTAACATCTCTCGTCTTAGCCATTTTACAAACAAGTTTTTTAATATATCTTTTTGTTTTGTTAAAAAAGATCACATATCAAAGTCGAAATCAGATTGCTAGTTACTAATTTACAAAATTAAAGTTTAAAAAGTTGTAAAATGAAATTAAGGGCGAACGTTTACAGGTTAAAATTTAAGAACGCTGTTTTTTAACAAACGAAATATTAAGAAACTTGGGAAAAATTCAATCATCATGTAGCTTGAAAATCGACGATTTTTTTTTAATCAATGTGAAATTACCCAAAAAACACGTTAAAAATAACAAGAAAGTGCGAAAAAGTGACTAACAGTAGATTAATTCTATTATATGATAACTAACTTCAGGTTTAAAATGTCAACCTCAATTTTGACATATTTGTAATCTTCATTAAAAATCCTTTAAAATGAGTACAAATTTATCTTCAATATTATTGAAGTTATGATCAACTGCCGGTTAAGAATGTCAACCTCAATTTTGACATATTTGTAATCTTCATTAAAAATCCTTTAAAATGAGTACAAACACGACATATTTATCTTCAATATTATTGAAGTTATGATCAACTGCCGGTTAAGAATGTCAACGTCAATCTTGACATATTTGTAATCGTCGTGAAAAATCCTTTAAAATGAGTCCAAACATGATACGTTTAATTCCAATATTTCACGAGATATAAACTTCCGGTTTGAAATATCAATGTCATTTTGACATTATTAATTTTTATAAAATGTCTTAATATTTGACACAAAAAAAAACTAAAAAAATAAGGTTGGTATTAATATTTAAAAATTAAATTGCTATCTTCATTGTTGCTAACTTAGGGTTTAATGTTTTTTATTCTAACTTTTTGGTTTTTTGAGATAAGTGCGTCATCTTTGGACTTATTTTAAATGTTTTTTAATGAAGATGACAAATATGTCAAAATTGACGTTGACGGTTTAAACCGGAAGTGATTATGTTTCCATTAATATTAAAGGTAAATGTCGAGTTTGGACTCATTTTAAAGGATTTTTTATGAAGTTGACAAATATGTCAAAATTAAAAGTTGAAAGTTCGAACTTTTTGGTTTTTTGAGATAAATGCGTCAAGTTTGGACTCACTTTAAAGGTTATTTTATGAAGATTACGAATATAATAATAAAATTAAAGTTGATATTGACAACTAGAAGTTTTAAAATATACAACATAGTAATATCTTATGCTAACTAGCGCTATCTACCGCTGTCGTTTGTAAAATGGATAAGATGAGAGAAGTTAATCTATTTGTAGAGTCTCTGAAGATGGCCAAGGGCCGAAACTAGATAAACTTAAATTCTATATAAATTAAAAGACAAACTTTTAGTTTTATACTAACATCTTGAAAACGACACTGGCCCGAAATTGTAGGTTCATCTATTTTATCTATTGTAGAATTTCTTGGTGTATCTAAGTCGGTTCTTAGATGTATGATGAAAATCAGACTTGAAATCGTATAACGTGCTTGGCGCTTAGCTTTATCCTTTAAAACAAATAGTATTTTAGTCTTTCGGTATTCTGCATTTTTTCTAAAATAAGTTACACCTTTACCAACCAGACAGCATGAAAATCTCTAAAAACGTCAAGGGATATATAACGTGGTCCAATTAGAATTATTGTTTCGTGCGACTTGGGTTGCCTGTTTCATATTTTTATTAATTTTTTATTGTAAGTGCGCTTTGAAAATTTAGTGTCCGTCAATAAGTTTTTTTCGTTGACATCACGAATTCACCTTCTAAGAAAAAGAAGTAATAAATATCTAATAAATCAAAAACTAGAAGCATTCGTGTTAACCATCGCGAACCAGTTAAATTCTAAAACACCCAGAAACGTCTAATGAACGGTCTCGTTCCTGTATCGTTCCGTAACCTGTATATGTTAGCGTTCATAAATAGAATCCAACCTGGGTAATTTCACAAGCTGCTTTATTCCATAGTCATAGATAAACTCGGGATATTCCCTAAATTGTCTATATGATGTATAAATGCTAGTGTTAAATCTAGTTTTAGTTGTTATTCCGCGCTAGATAACATAAATATAATAAAAATTATGAATAAATATAGAGCGAGGTAGACTGAACGCAGCTGTCCGAATTTCTATGCATTAAAATTATTGACTTTGGCTATTATAAATTATAAGAGACACTCCTTTCCCCACATTAGTCCATTATATCGAGATTTTCCTGTAAATCAAATTTTACCTGTCCATATCCCATATTATCCATCTGCGTCATTCCATTTAAATCATCCAATCCTTCATGGTACGGTGTTTCATCACCCAAAATATCCCTATTATAACCCCCCTCTTGATGATGATGCCCATCTAATAAACTCTGTACCTGATCTGGTTGCAATTGTGGCATCTCATCCATATGATGCAACTCTTCTTGATGTTGATGAATAATTTGACTTGAACCAGTTAAATCAGGGGTTGGAATCGCTGGTGGAAGCGGTTGTGGTGTCATCGGCATGATTGTTGATGTCAAAGAAGCCGGGGTTGGTGGTGGCATAAAGGCAGAACTTGGTCTTAGAGGGGTTGGTGCTCTTAAAGGCGTTGGAGGTGGTTGTAGTGGCGTGGGCGGCCTTAAAATTGCGCCCAAAGATTCTTCATGATGCAAGATTGATTGAATGTCATGATCAGGTTGGTGTAAAGGCGTTTTCTCAATGCTGTCATCAAGATTTTTTCTTTTACGTCCTCTGCGTGCAGGCACTGGAGTAGGTGGGTCAAGAGTTTGTTGATGGTGCTCTTCGGCTTCGCGAATTTGATCCAGTGCCAAAGAATCTGCATCGCCAAGCATAGCAAAGTCTTCGGTTCCAATCGGTTTTAATACTAAATGACGTTGGTAATTCTATAAAAAGAAATAATTTAATAATAAAAGTAATTAAAAAAACTTGAAATTTATTTACTCCAAATAAAGATCTTGCAGGTATCGCTCTTCCAGGTAATGCAAAAAGTTTTTCAACCCCACCCGTTTCTTTCCAATGCATCAAGCGTTTCGTAGGTGGGGCTAAATCCAAACTTGTAACAATATCGGTAGTATCGCTTAGTTGATTTTTCATTTCTTCCCCAGAAATATTTTTGACCTCATCAACAATCAGCTTCCTCTTCCTTTTCGCTTTATTAAATCCTTTTAGTATTGTTGCATCAACAGGGGCAAGAGCAAAACTTTCCTCTTCATTTTGAAGGAGAAGCGTTTGATCTTGAGGAGTTGCTGGTTGATTTTGATCAAAATTGTCTTGGTGTTTTGACGCCAATTGTTTTGGATCTTGATTTAAATCAGATTGAGGTTGATTTGTCACACAAACTGGACAATGTTTTGAACAAGATAGAGGATGTTTAGAACAAGGTTGTATCAATTCAGATTTAGGTTCTCTTGAACAAATTTGGCAATGCTTTACTGAAAATTCGGAAGGAAATTGACTCAATTCCGAGGAATCATCTCCTTGTCTTGATCCAAAAGCAACAGGGAACTCTTGATTTAACACTGGTACACCACCTTCTTGATCTTTTCTATTCAAACCTTGTTCGGGGCGATTTAACGCACCCAAACCTTTTTGGGAATCCCCATCATCATCATCGCTATCAAAACAACCAGGTGAGCCACCACCGGCATCAAAATCAAGGTCATCATCGCTGTCGTGATCTATCCGAGCTTGATTTGAATGTGTTGGGTCAATAATGTTGGGATTTAAGACAGGATCTTGAGTCAAATTTGAAGCCAAACGTTCCATTTGGCTCAAATTTGGTGTTAACCCTGGCTCTAATCGGCTTAAATTCGGATTTAACCGATCAATTTGACTTAAATTTAAATTTTCGCGGTTCATTTCTTCAATATTAGGCCCTTCGCCCATTGGAGCATCATCAAATAATCCTCCCTCAAACAATCCAGCTCCATGAAATGTTTCCCCTCGCACATTGCGCCCATCATCTGTTTCATCATCCCTTCTAAAGTATCCCCGACCCATTCCAGATGTTCCAGGTTCATTATCTCTCTCCAATCCATCCCCAAACAACAAATTACTTCCTTCTAAAGTTGGCTCAACTCCCTCATCGTGTCTCATTAAATCCGGAGCCTCCGTATCAAACCCCATATCACCAAATCCATCATCATTTGAAACTAACGACATAGAACCATAATCTTCCCTCATTGTAATTTCTTCAGCTCTTGATTGATTTAAACTAAACTGAGCTTCAATATCTACATCATTTAGTTCAGGCATATTGGTGTCAAAATCATGAAAAACTTCGGGAAGAGTAATAGCATTATGAGCAGCCTCCCGATGCTCCTCAGGAAGGTCAACAATGCCAGGTCGAAAAGCGAGCTTAATTTTAACGAACGCCTCATTACAATCAGCCAGTAAATACTTAGCTTTGCGAGAATAAATCCGTACAACACCTAAAAGTAGGTGACCAGATGTCCGTAAAGCCATTTTCACCTTTGGTTGTAGAATACCATCGACGGATTTCTCAATATTCGTTTCGAAAACATGGGCTTTTGTTAGTTTCTTATCCCAATGAGCTGCAAGCCAAATACGCGCAAGGGGGCCTTTTTTGGCCAAAACAAAGTGCGCGTAAAACATTTTGAGTGTATATTAATTGATTTTACAAAGTTTAAAACTTAAGATTTATAACTTAAAAGGTTAGGATTTTGAAGCAAAAGCTCATCCTTCAAAATTTGTCGTCACAACTTTCGTCGTTCATTTCACTCCGGTTTAATACAAACGTTTACACTTTATTTTATTATAACTAGGCTTGTATAAACAAATAAGAAATAAATTTTAATTATTTTAAAACTGATTTAAACTCAAAAAGCTTTGATAAAAAGTGTGACAAGAACTGTAAACTGTAAACACTGGATTATGTCAAAATGGCGTTAGGTGACGCTTGCAGGATACGTTCTGGTGTAGTTTTAGAAAAGGCGGGGGTTAAAAAGTTTCCTTAATTTAATTTTATTTTAAACCAAATAACATTAAAATATTGTAATCACGATAATTATTTCTTTTCTCCACATACAAACAACGTTTACGTTGGGATTTTTAAGTTTGCGTCAATTATAAATACCGTTAGGAAGAGTTCTATTAATCAGGATTTCCAAGAAACAAATAATTTTTATTTTTATGAAAATTTATTACACAAGAAATGCTAATTAAGTAAAAAAAATCGATTTATTTATAAATTTATTAAATAAAATTATTTAAATTAAGTTTTAAAAAATTTGATTCGTTTTTATGTCAAATACATGTCAATCACATGTGTCACAGTTAACCTAAATTTTTCCACGTCGTTTAAGTTTGAAATCTACTAAAAAGTATAAATGTAATCGAAAAGTCTACTAAATTAATTCATCTTAAATAAATAATTATTATAATAAAAAAGAAGATTATCATTAAATAAATAAATTCAATAAGGTAAGTTTTTAAAAGTGAGGTTAGGTTATTAAAATTAATTTATATTTTAATTTCAATGATGTAATAAAAAGGCGAATATGATTGTTTCCTCGTTTTTCCTTTTTTGGAAAATGCGAGTTGAGATGAGTGAATTGAGCTATATTTAACTGAGATCTCTCCGATTTAACTTCACCTTCCCATCTCTTAATTTAACAATAATTTATTTTTCTGTTCCTTTTTAGAAATCATGAGCTTTGAAAGTGAAGATATAAACATAGGTTATGTTACCTGTCCAACTGAGAAGCGCTTATTACTTTTATTCACATTTCTTAAAAAGAACCGTAACAAAAAGATTATTGTTGTTTTTAATTCAACAGCTTCATCTGTGTACCATAATGATCTTTTTCATAACCTAGAATTGAACACAGAACTTGTTAATAAAGGAGCTAAATTAAATGCATTAATTTCTTCAAAATCATCACTTCCCACATTGGTGAATAGTGATGTTATTATAAAAGAGAAGTTGGATTTATCAATTTTTGATTGGGTTGTTCTATATGAACCAATAAATCGATTCAAATCAATTCTTAATAAACATGTTAATAATTTATTATTAATTTTACAAAACTCTGAAGTTAATTATTTAGAGTATTTGAAACAATCATTTTTGGTGGAACCTAATCAATTAAACTTTACCTGGAGCAAAATTACCCAAGTTCAATTACAGGTAAACTTAATTCTTAACAAAAGTTAGCAAATTTGAATAAAATTAAAATTTTAGATTGAAAAATTGGTTTCTGAAAGTTATTCATTAAATACTTCAGCGAAAGAGGCGTTTAAAGCATATCTACGATCATACAATAATCTAAAACAAAAGGAGATATTTAATGTGAAAAACTTGGTGTTAAAGAAATTGTGTCTTTCTTTTGGATTTAAAGTTCCTGTTGCTGTTGATTTAATAGGTAGGAAAGTTTTTAGAGAAAATTTAAATTTTTATTAAAAACGCTTTTTTAGATGAACCAGTTGAATCCACTGCAAGGATAAAAAGGAAAGGTACTGATGGATATGGATATTACAGTGACACAAAAAAAGTTAAGAGTGAATATCGTAAAATTGCTGAGGAGAAGACTATAAAGGTCTTTAAAACAGTTAAAGGTGTAAGAAGAAAGTTTAATGTAAAAAAGAATAAATAAGTATTTTAATTTTTATTGGTTATTTAAATTCCATACCTTTACTAATTATACAATTTCCAATTTAATTCAAACTTTAAAAAAGGGGTTGAGTTTAAAATATAATAACAATGAGGTTTATAGAAAATATAAAATTATGGCACAATTAATCTTCATTAAATTTACTTCAAAATGTTTGTTATTTCATCACGATATCTCGACCCATTCTTGAATTACGTTTTTCTAAATTTCGAACTAAAAACTGGATAAAAATCGTTATAAGTTTAATAAATCGAACTAATAACGAAGTTTATAGGAAGTAAGAAATTGTGTTTTAAGACGCCCGGCTAAACCTAAAACTTTCTAGGTCTAGAGTTAGTTCTAGTTTTAATTGTTATTTTACCCTAAATTCTTGTAAATTTTGATTGATCTAAAAAATTTTTTTTTTATTTAATCCACTTACCTTGCTTATTAATTTCATCCATTTACCCATTTTGAATTAAATACATCCTTTAAATCCAATTAATTATGTGTTTTTCACTTTTTATCAATTCTAACTTAATTTTTATTAATTTAAAAACAATTTGAATTTTTTACGGTTGTTTAATAAATTAATAACATCTCTTTTTGATTTAATCCACTTACCTTGTTTATAATACCCTAGATAAACCAATTTTGAGTTAAGTACAGCCTTTTAAACCAATTAAATAAGACTTTTCCCTTAAAAAAAACTTAAATTCAATTTTGACAAGCACCTGCAATATTTGGATCTTAATCACCATGGTAACCGAGTCAAGTTGGATAACCTAAAAATAATAAAATTATAAACGTTAAATTTCGCTTTATATTTTAATATTTTTTTAATTTTATTTTCAGCGTTCATATGGAGTTGGATAACCTTATACAGTATGTTTACTCAACGGATCTTGCTGTTCATCATTAAAGTTTTAAAAATAAGTAATAAGTTGGTAGCTAAACATCTAAAAATGAAATGAAAATAGAAAATATGTTCGTAAAGTATTTCTAGTAAATTTTATTTTAAGATTACTTTACTTCTAAGTAATTCTTGTTGTTATTTAGTAATCTTCATTTTAAAATAAATATAAACGAAGATTATGTAATTTTAAAAATTAAGGTTGCCAGCCTTGTAACCGCCAAACAATCTAAAATGTCTATAATAGAGGTTATGTTCTGTTATTTTGTTTGTTGCTGTCAAATATATTCATACTAAAAATGCCGGAGATTTTCGATGAAAGAAACTCCGAAACTTATAAAAATCTATCAGAAAGATTCGTAAGGCAATCAGAAGACTACAATCAACAATATCATCGGATATATACAGTTCGGTTATCTGAAATGACTAAAAATTTAATGAATGTAATAAAGATGAAATGGAAAGACGAGTATCCTGTTTGTAAATTACATAGATTATCTGAAGAAAATTACGAAAAATGTATTGTAATCGGAACTATATTCAAAAACATGAAACTAAAGCCTTCAGTTTTAAAACAACTTTGTGAAGCAAGCAGTTTAGTGCCACAACCAATTCCAGATCATTTTACAGATGAATCCGACACTTTATACATTGAAGATGATCTTCAACGATTTGAATTAGTGGTTCAAGAAGATTTTGATAAAGATTTTAATGTAAAACGCTTAATAACTGGGGTTGTTTGTGCTTTATTTGGTCAGTATGATGATGTAAAAAGTAAATTTATTGTTATGGATTACGTGTTTCCAACATTAGAAGTTAAAATAGAAAAACCACTTATTAGTGATGATTGTTACATAGTTTTTATGAGTGGTTTAAACTTTGTTAACAGTGAAAATCGTGGTTTAAAATTAAAAAACATGTCTGATTTTATAAAAGGTTTTTTCGGAGCAATTAATAATGTTGATCCAAAGAGAATTGTTCGGATTATAATCGCTGGTGGGGCAATTAAAAATTCCAGTAATAAAACCAATTTAAATAATTTTAATAAATCAACTATAGCCCCAATAAGTTCCAATAATTTATTAACAGACGCTATAAAATCACTCGATTTATTTCTATCAGATTTATCACAAACGATTGATGTTGATTTAATGCCTGGTCAAAATGATCCCTCCAATTTTGTTTTACCTCAAAAACCACTCCATCATTGCCTATTCCCACAAACAATTCAATACAAATCATTTAATCGCGTTTCAAACCCATACGAATTCGAAATAGCTGAAATGCGGATACTTGGTACATCTGGAGAACCCATCCACAATGTTTTGAATTATACGGATATTGAGGAACCGATTGAAGCACTTGAAAGTTGTTTAAAATGGGGTCATTTAGCACCAAGTGCACCAGATACTCTCGCTTGTTTTCCGTATTATGATCAAGATCCATTTATTATTCAAAATTTTCCACATGTTGTTTTTGCTGGGAATCAAAAGAAGTTCGATACAAAAATTGTTAATGGTAAGTTGAACATAGCAGAAATATTATTAGTAGTTACTAATATATGAACCATTTTTTATTTTAGATTGTGGGAAAGCTGTGAGGATCGTTTGTGTTCCAGATTTTTCCTTTACTTCTTCTATTTGTTTGTTGAACTTGAAAAGTTTAGAGTGTACAGAGATGGTGTTTCTTTAATTGTTCTATTTTAAATAGTGATAAAGAACAATTTTTTTAGCTTATTGTTTTATTTATAATCACAAATAATTGGAAAATATTTTTTTTGTTTTAATTTAATAAAATTTAGTTAACTCAGATTTATATGTTGATAATTCCAATATATATTCATTTTCTGCAACTATATCTATGGAAATACTGGAACTAACAGATGAAAATGAAGTGATAAAGAAGAATACAACTTAACAGTTTATAAATTAATGTGGAAAAATCTATCTTGTACTCTTTCTGACAGGTGTACAACACCATAATAATAACAAAGGTCATTAATGTCTCTTGAATAATGTCACAACCTCCATCTCAAAGGTCATGTATGATTAATGGAGCTGCTATTAGTCAATTTTCTACATAGAGCTATGACAGACATCAACTTATATTTTTTCAGTTCAAAATATGCCGAAAATGTATTTTTCAAACAAAAACCTTATATTAAAATACTTTGGCCATTAGAAAACAAATTGAACAAATCACTAGGGCGGCAGTGAACGTGTTAGGCTATGTTGATAACTATGTTAAAGAAACTATTCGTTTGCTAATAAATACATAATCACAATGGAAAAAATTTTAATGTCTATTTATGCCCTTTCGAGTGGCAGAACACGCATTTGGAATTTTGATTCATCAATGGCGTGATTTTGTAACCTTTACAGTCTTAGAGATCTTGCTAAAGATGATCTTGAATAAAACATTGCTTCAGCTGAGGAGAACCACAGCGTACACAAAGTGGCGATCCCTCACTTTGGACGTCAAGTGGTACACATTCATTAAAGATAAACCTTACAGGTGCTGATACAAATTTTGGTTTTATGTTCTGAGGTTCGGCTACATCGTATACTTTGATATACTCCAACTACATTACTACCGCAAAGGTGTAAGCATATGGGAGTTGGCGAATCTGGAAATACCGTAATTCATTTGACAGAGGACTTTGAGAATTACTTTCCTCTTTCCTTTACACCAAAAGTTAAAATAGAGAATTTTAAAAACTACATTTTAACAAAGTTGAATTAAAAAATCGTTAGAAAATATTGTGAGGCTATCAGTGACATATTGAAATGCAAGAAAATTGAGTGTAGGCCACTTCAGATCATTATTTAGTTTATGTATTTTACAGGCTTATATTAAAAAGTAATTTGATTCCTGGAAGTCCAAAAAAGTTACGTTGTGCATTAAAACATAACTGCTAACCAATTTAATAAGTAAATTTCTAGCTATCTTGCCTAATTCAATACAAACTAACGTTAATCCTCTGGAAGAGTCTGGACTTGTCTTTGTGTTTTGTCTTTAAGTTCTGATTGTATTTTTATATTTTACTTAGATTAGATTTATGTCTATATGTTACATAGGAGATACCAATTGGTTTGGCATGAATAAATATTATTATTACTTGAAATTTTAAAAAGCGGGTTTTAGTCCATTCTGCTTTATTTTATATTATTTATCTTCGTTATGTATTTATCTTTCATATTATAAGCCTTCCATATACAGGATGTTTCTGTAAGTTGTGGCATAATTTTAATCACAAATACTAGAGTTAAAATAATGACGATTCGTGTACAAATTTTTGGTATAAACCCATAAATGCTTTCTTACGTTTCTTACATTTTCTTAAATATTTTCAATATGGTTTATCTTAGAAAGATAAAATTTGGCAAACAATGCAATACTATCATGAGAAATCATTTAAGATCACTTTTGAAAGTATGAAATTACGGGGTCAATACTATACAGTGTCCACAAAGGTTATTTCCAATAAAAAGATACAACCTCATCCATGAAATACTGTCATTAATCATAGGCGCCCATGAAAATAAATCGTAATTAAAGCAGTATGTCAAATTAATGGTCACCAATAAAAAGTATTTTTTCTAAACACGCAGCATCAATAGCACATTTTTCCATCATAGTATGGCAAAACTGTACTCGCAACGGATGACCAGCAATTTTCAATTCTTATACTGTCGACTAGTGGTATGGATACAATTGCTGTCCGTGTGGTACACGCCAAGCCGTACTTTTGGATATTCCGAAATGTTGATATCAACAGTATCATCAGTTATTTACAATATCATTTCACCACTGTGTTAGCATTGCCTAAACAGTCTCCCAACGTTAAAAGCATGTCAGTTTGCTCAGTAAAACTGTAATTATTTGTCATTTTAACAACTATTGCCGACTGACGAATGTTGGGTAATGATTTGACAGTTGCTGTACTGCTCCAATTACAATTTGTTTTCATGGGCGGAAATCAAAACATTTCATAATTGAGGTTGTTCAGCATTGATCCCGTGACTGCATATTTTCAAAAGTGATTTTTCATGATAAAATTGCACTGTTTACAAAAATTTTATCTTTCTAAGATAAACCATATTGAAAATGTTTGAAAATTTCTTAACTTCCCACATCTTAGCCATTTATGGGTTTAGACCAAAAATTCTTACACGAATTTTCATCATTTTAACTCTAGTATGTGTGATTAAAATTATGCCACGACTTACAGAAACATTCTGTATGGCTTAGTGGCTACCGAAGATGTTCTGATCTGTGGAAGATATGAACAAAGAAATTTTGGCAGATGAAAATTTTATCATAAAAGCTCCAGAGATGAAAAGACTTAACATTAAAATTATCCGGAAGGCTGGACAGTTGGTGTAAGCGTCATAAAACTCAATCAATTGGCACATTTAAAATTTTCGTCATCAAGTCCCCCGCTGAATTTGCAAGTTTTAGAAAAATTGAAGCCTATTTGTCATGATTTATGACTAATGATGAGCTGCTCGCACGATGTTTGGCTACAGAATCATAAAATAGTAATAAGTGGATAAATCCGCTAATTTTTGATTTCATTCCGAAACATTTATATTGTGAAACGATGATTGAAGGCGCAACTTCTTGGCTATTACAATTTTTAATAACGGATTTAACCTAATTTTGACGTGACGGGAGTAAAAATTGGTCTACAAGCAAAATTGCAAATGCACAGCCAAAATGCGGGGGAAAAATTAAAAATTCATTTTATTTTAAAAAAATTAAAAAATACATTTTAATTAAAAAAAAATATATAATCAAAGAAATATAAATAAACTTAAAAAAGACTGGATAAATCCATACTTCAGCAAAAATTTAAGAATTATACTGGTGAAAAACCAAACTTAAGGGAACAGTCGGGAATACTCTGGTCAGAAGGTTAATTTGCAAGAAAAAGTCTGAAATTGCAATAGTTATAAACTAGACTTCAGCAAAAAACCGGAATTACATTGTTCAAAGTCCACATGAAGTCTGAAATTACTGTTCAGAGAAAACAAAAAATTGATTATAAACCAAACATGATTTTTCGTGGCAATACCTATGTGTTCAATAAAAAAATGCAAAGAATATGAACAAGAAACCAATGGACTTGTCTAAGCAAAGCAAAGTAACAGCTGCAGAAATGAGATACCAGATGGTACAAGATCCGTATAGATCATAAGAGGCTCCCAAAAAGATGATGATAGACACCCAGAAAGAAGTTGCTGTCAGTATCAAGAACAAAACATATATAACGTTGGCAGAAGACTAGATACTGTTTCTAAAAAACTAAATAGTGCTTTCTGAAGACTAGATACTGCTCTGGAAGATTAAATACTGCTTTCTGAACACTAGACACTGCTGACAGGTCTAAATACTGCAAAAGAAAGATAAGATATTGTTGGAGAAAACATTAAAAAAGCGCCGGCGCCCCCTTTTAAGCGGCGCCTGGGTGCAGTGCACCCCTTGCACCCCCCGGTAGCGCTGCCTCTGTGGTAATCAATAGTAGGTATCAAGAAAGCACAATAAACACTCCCACTTGCAGATTTGGGAGTATCAGTATAAACAACCAAACTACCCTCTATCAACTGCACGGTCTCAACAAACAATTCTTTATTTTCCCAAACGTCATTCCCATATGGAGGAATAATCACTTGATGCGAGCCAAAGTACTCAAAAAATAATAAAATTAATATTTTACAGTCCCCCAATTGTTCGTGTGGGTTTGAGACGGAGGATTATTTTTCAATTACGATAAATAGGAATCATATCGACCGGAATTCATCAGTTCTTTGCTATCGCACGGTTTCTCCTTGCCACTTGATGTTATCACGATTTTAAGCAGAAATTGTTTTGAGATTTTTAAAATTATTTTGTGTCATTATTATTTGACATCTTTTAGTTAAATTACTTCTTGTGAATCTTGATTAGCGCGTTTTGCACTCACTGTGGCTTAAAAAAAAGTAGATCTACTATTTCTAGGTCGAAATCCCCCCTTAATTTATTTTAAGTACTGAAAAAGAACAATTTATCTTTTTAATTTATTGTTTTATTTACAAAAAAAAAATGGAAAATGTTAATATTAATCTCCATGTAATACAACATTTTTACAAAAAGAAAATTCAAAGTTTATAAAATATGTTATAAAAAATCGAAGTGGAAAAATATCAAAAATCTAACATTCTGGAAGTTCTGTTACTACATTATTTTCTTGTAGAAAACATTTGTTGTCAATTTCTATATTCTCAAATTCTTGCATTTTAGCAATTATCGATTCTGAAAGGCTGTTTATTGTAATTTGATTCGCATCTTTTCGAGGTCTTCCTCTAGGCCTGTTGCTTTTAGGAACAAACGCTAAAAATGTATAAATAAAATTTTATTATACTTTTAAATAATTTTTTTCATAAAATTAGTAATTACTTACCATGTTTTCGTGGTCTTCCACGACTTCTTTTAGGTTGTAACGCGTCAGGTTGAATTATAACTAAAAGAAAAAAAGACATCCAAAAAAAAACTTCCTCTTTAATGAATTTCTTAAAAATTTTTTAATCGTATCACACCTTTTTTTGGTATTAAAGGTGCCTTTCTCGGTCTCCCTCTACCGCGTTTTACTCCACTTGTAGTAGATATTTCTGTTGGCATTATTTCAACTTTATACTCTTTTATCAAATCATTATTATCGATGATATTCTTTTCGGGTTCAATTTCCTGTGGTTCGCATATATCTCGTTTTGTGAAAATATCAAGATAATCTTGATGATTAGCTCGAGTGTGTAATTTTAATTTGTCTTGCCTTGCAAACATTTTATCACAAACCATGCATCTGAAGGGTTTTTCCCCTGTATGTACCCTTCTGTGTCGAATTAAATGTGAAGTACGAGTAAATCCTTTTTGACAAAAATCACATATAAATGGTTTACTTTCGTAGATTTTTCTCTGGTCATCTCTTGTATCATTATTTGAGTCATCACTGTAACAATCTGATAAGGTTTCATCTTTTATGGTTATTTCAGGTTCATTTTCAATGTTAGTAATATTAACTTTATCTGTGCTATCACCCTAAAATTATATTTTATTTAAATGTAATTATAAAAATATAAATTGGTTTAATAAACTCACAACACTCATTTCTGTAACTACACAATCCATAGAATTTAGAGGTTCAGAATGTTCGTGAGGTGTAAAAGCTCCAAATTCTCTGAAGTCTCTAAAATCTTCAAATCCTCTAATTTTTAAATCATTACCCAATTTCATCAGATAAATTAGATGTTCTGAAGCGACATCTACAGCGCCTTTATACATGTATTCAATGATGAAACTCATGTCTCTTGAGTGGACATCTCGAAACACAATTGTGGGATGTTTGCAGGGATTGTGTTGGAATATTTGTTTGAAATAGGGGCTGAATGCGGATAAAACGACTTTGTGCGCTTTTACAAAACCCTCTCGACATGAAAGAGTAACATCAGTGAATTCAGTGTCTTCATACAGGTCGGTGAAAAGTTCAGATAGACTGCGTAAGTGGTTGTCCCATACAATTTGAACTCTTTTGGTAGTCATCTGTACCAGATTAATTTCAATTAATTTTGTATACAAACTAATTTTGTTAAGTTATTAATATAAAGAGAAAAAATAACCAATAGATATAACTTCAACTGGCACCATATAAATACTATTTAGTTGTATTTTATTATTAGGTACTCTGTTTTTGTACTACTTAACAAAATCAGTGTGGAGAATACTTACTTTTATTGAATACAAACTGAAAAATAAAATTGATCTTTATTTTTTAAGTATTAAATAAAATATTAATACAATAAGATAAAGCTTTCCATCAAAAACACCCATTTCTTTTGTAGGAATAAAATAGATTTCTCAGGTTTGTAGAATTTTACTTGTTATATGTCCAATTTTCCTCAGATTAAGGTTATGTTTATTATTAAAGTTATTACTAGGTAAGATTAAAATTGTAAAATTTTTACTGAAACATAACTTTTAACAGTTGCTATTTACCCTTTAAGAATTATGTTCGTATTAACACTATTTTTTGTGATAAATATTGCGTTTCTATACTTCACTAACTGTTTTTATGTATGTTTTTATTAAACTAAAACTCGTTTTGGTTGCCTATAACATAACACAGTAAGGACAGTAAGAATAGCATTTCCCCAAAGATTCCTAAAGCGCATGTACCAAGTTACCCAAACTTATGAGGAAAATCTATTATCTTTTATATTAAATATGTAATGCTGAAGTTAAAGTATTTAGTAACATTGGAGTGTTAAAGCCAGTTCAACATTTGTATTCTCATTTTGTTGGTTTGTATAAGAAGAAACTACAGTTTAAAGTTAAATACCTACATCTTTAATTGCACTGTTGGTTATGTTCCTATTTTAAATAGTGGTTAACGGTTTTAATTGTTCTCACATACAGTGTGTTAATTAATTATCGTACAGAGTATGCAACCAATATCACAGATTGGTATTACAACGTGACGAAAGTTCCTAAAAACGATGGCGACAATTCATTACCCTTAAAATCCGTTTAAAATACAGGGTTTCCCAAAACTCCCGGGACGGAGCTATAAGTTTTGAACGAGTGAAGAAAAATATTTGAAAATTTGGGGATCACTAAAGAGTCATAAAAACTACATTCTTAGATAGTTTAGAACTTCCGTGCAATGTGGAGTTTTTTTAGGAGATGACCACCCCTACATTTTTAAATAGCAATCCCTATCGAGTTTTACCTTATTTTAAAGGTAATGGAAAAAGAAACACAACCCCAAAACCCTATATCTTAATTCTTTCAAGAATTATGAGGGGTTGACTACCAAATGGGATAATAAAGTGTTTTCATATTTTTTTGCACGTTTAATTGCGATTTTTATAACAAATGTTCAAATTGTCGACCTTCTTCGGTTTCGCAATGACCCAAACGCTCATAAACCATCAGGAGCATATCCCTAGTGATCTTGGTAGTTTCTTCAAATATGAGATTTTCCAAATCATTCATAGATTTTGGTTTTATTGCATAAACTCTACTTTTCAGAAACCCCAACAGAAAAAATCCAGTGGTGTTAGATCAAGAGATCGTGGTGGCCACTCAATTTCACCTGTTCTACCAATTCAACGGTTTAGAAACGTGCGGCTTAAAAAGTCTTGGACTGCGCGACTAAAATGTGAAGGAGCACCATCTTGTTGTCAATACCATTAGGACATACGGCACGTACACTTGGAATCACTTCATTTTCTAACAGTTGCAGATATCTGTCTCCGTCCAAATTTTCATTAATAAAAAATGGGCCAATTACATTCTTTCCCATAATACCAGCCCATACATTAATTTTCTGTGATCTCTGAGTATGATCTTCTCTTATTAAATGTGGATTTTCGTCACTCCAATCACTAGGGAACCACCACTATCACTAGGGATATGCTCCTGATGGTTCAAAATTCCATTTATGAGCCATTAGGTCATTGCCAGATCAAAGAAAAATCGTAATAAACGTGCAAAAAAACATGAAAACATTTTATTTTCCCATTTGGTAGTCAACCCTTCATAATTTGAAGAATTAAGATATAGGGTTTTGGTTTATGGGGTTGCTGTTTAAAAATGTAGGGGCGATCATCCCAAAAAAAAAAAACTCCACATTGCATGGAAGTTCTAAACTATTTAAGAATGTAACTTTTATGACTCTTTAGTGATCTCCAAATTTCCAAAATTTTTTCTTCACTCGTTCAAAACTTATAAGTCCGTCCCGGGAGTTTTGGGAAACCCTATATATTTAGATATATTTTAATAATTAAAAACATATTTTAAATATAAAAAAGGTCTAACTTTCTGTCCTTTTATTTAAAATCATTTTTAGTGTACCCATAGATGTTGAAAGTAATGATTATTTTGATTTGTCTATTGACTTACCGCTTAAAGCAACCGCTAGAAACAACAATAGTTCTAAGAACAACTGTTTCGAAAAATATAAAGGCAGTAAAAAACAGCAGTTAAAGAACAAAGAAAATACGGAAATTCACAAAGCACCAAGCTGTCAACATCTGGTTACTAATTTAAAATTATCCAAGTTACCACTACATATTGAGATATGCAGCCGATATTACACAGGTCACGTGGGTTACGATAATTAATGAACACAGTGTAGTTGTAGTTGCTTTGTAACATGTTACATGTTTTAGTACCCTGTTATACTTTCTAATATACTAATCAAATTTTATAAAGTATTTTGGTACAAGGAAGTAAGACACTGAACCTTAACGATTAAGACAAGTTTCAGACTATGATGACCAAAGCAAAGGGAATGGTGGGGAAAGGAATTCGTGGAAATTGGGTATATAGAACATTAGGAGTTTAAGATGAAAACAGAAGGAACTGGAGAAAAATTGGATTGAAGAAGCAGAATTGAATGTGTTGTCAATAACACAAATATTGAATTATTAAAAAAACGAAGGAGCTAGTAAGAAAAGAAACTAAGATGAATTCAGAAAAATAATCCGAACAAAATGAAGAAAGGACTCTCGGGAAATAAAAGGGATAGCAACAATAAACAGGTAAGGAAGATCTAACACAGATGACACTTTCACCAGAGAAAAATTCTTTCCATATTACCATTTAAGCAGTCGATGATACTACAAAAATCCGAAACTTTTGTATGAGTGATATACAGTGAAGCGAACTTACAAGTTTACCGATAAGCAAACTGAAACATAAGGGAAAAACTATCCTACGGAATACCACAAAATATATCACGCCCTCCAGACTGTTCGGTACTAATCGTAAAACAAAACAGACCATTTTTAGACATGACCTAAATTACTCCTAAGATGAAGAGTTGCAATTCGTGAAAGATAATATTGCGTATGAGAGGAGTTGACAAGGCTAATTCTCTCATGGACCTACGCAAATCACAAAGTAAAGCTAAGCGATGGTACTTCCCAATCTTCACTAACTTGATGAATATATATTATGTCTAGTCAATGCGTGGCTTGGGTACAGACTTGGTTGTACAACACTAAAAGTAAAAACAAACTTCCAAAGCTGTTAAGATTGAATATTCTGTAAGTACTTGCTTATGCTGGCAAGGAGGTCAGGAAATGTTTACCTAGCTCTGGAGCAAATACACTGAAAGACCAGGTAATACAACAATTGGCGATTTTTATGGTCACTAGCCTGTATATACCAGAAGAAGGATGCAGGTAATGCGTGAAAAGAACAACAATGTGGGACAAATGTGGAACTAGACTGTTGCTCAATGAAAACAAAAATTTGCAATTAACGAGTTTTTGATGAAGCTGTTACAATCTTTATCGGTCATTGTAACCAAATGATACAATTCATAATTTTTGGATATATGTATGTACTTATTGCCAATTAGATACCGATACTGGGATGTATAAATACATTACAGAAAGCAAAATGATTTTGAGAATTTTCTGAAATTTATGTACAGAAAGATGGATCGATAAGGGATTCAAAAATTTCAGTTACCATGTAGTAACAGTTACTATATGGTTAAGGGTTGAATGTTCAATAAACTGATAATAAGAAGGAAAATAATGAATTGCATTACGTTGAATTTGGCATACTCATTTTTACGTTGATTATTGATCTCTTCTTTATTTCATTATTAAATCTTTGAATACCTCTCCTTTAATATGATTAACTAAAATTAAACCATGAAAATGAAACACAATGTCTATAGAATGAACTTGTGATTAGGCTGATATAGGTAACAATATAGTAGTGATTTTGTGAAGATATTATTTCCACTACGAAGAGTAAAATTTATTGAAAACCATGTTTATTATCTGTAAGGAGTACTCTCGGTAAGAGGCGGTGAAAGTTATTTGAAATTTTCAAACAAGAAACGTTGATATTGTCATAACAATATCTTCAATAATTGGCATAATTATACGATGAGTATTTTATAAATAATAAAATTGTAGTGGACCTTATGGATTTTGTATAAGTTAATTTGCGCAAGATTTTTGCCTAACTTAACATAAAGGTTTATTTATCTACAACGATTGTAGTCAATGAGTACAGACTAGCTTGTAATAGTAGTCCATGGAATCAATTATTTAAAATGCTCAAGGTGTCCTTCTACAAAACAATTCCAACCAAGATTAGCCACATCACCAACTTAATCATTAACAAAAGTTCTTCATTATTCATTAAGATGACATTCAAACTGCTGGAGGATATGGGGAAAGGTTCTGCCGTTAAGGAGTTTTCTTATACTGTGTTATAAATAATATATAATAATTATTGCTTATGGTTATTAAACAAATTATAGAAAATTAAAAGGTAATAGTAACAATATGCTTTCAAAAGTTGCAAAAGTCGAGGAGAGCCATCTATCAGTTATATACGAACACATCTTTACTGTATAAAGGGTGCCGACATTTTGGTCGTTTCTTTACTGATTCTTTTTATAACCACACTGTATTTAAAAATATACATATACAGGTTATTTACCAATACGTGTACCGATAAAAGCATCACAATTTTATTATAGAGTTACAAATTATTTATTAAAATATTGTATAATTCATGAGGTAATACCTACAAAAATTCAAATTATTAGATTTATTTATAGCTGAACTAAAAATTAAAATGCAAATTTCGCACCCCCTCGCTAAATGTTGATTATATCGCAAAAAGAAAAGGTTTGTGATCTTATCGTTTTTTGGATCGGGTGATGTTTTAGTGAGTATCATGCTCTAAATCTCCCGTTTAGAAATTGAGATAATCCTGATATAAAAATTAAATGAGCTATGTTTACACTAACATAATTTTGATTTTTATTTTTATCAATTTAACTGGTAAAATGGAAAATAATTCAACATTAATATAGAAAAATATTTAAAAATTATGTTTATAGCCTAATGTATCTTATATTTAGTTTTTTGTGGTGGAAATTTAAGTTTAATATTAATTCTTACCTTTTTCTCTATTTTATGGTTATTTTTGTTGCGTAATCACCGACTTTTAGAACTTACAGCACCGAACTGGAACAAACCGAGTCCCGGATAAACGTATAGAGGGGTACGAACGGGGGCAAATGGGCGCGCCAAAGGGGGATATATTGATTTTTCGCAACCTCGCTTAGCTCCCCTTTTGGTATTTAACTGTAAAATATTCCTAAAATATTCTAATTTTTGTGTTAATTAAATTTTACTATTTCTTGTTATTCGAAATATTTATCAATTTATATTTTATTGCTAATTAAAAATAAAAAATAATATTGCATGAATATTTAACATTATAAATGTTAAATATAAAAATTCGCAGTTTCCATTTTTTTAAAACTAAA